ATAAATTTAGTTGAATAAATATAAATAAATACATAGGTAAAAAATTAAAGAGTATTTTATTTAAATTTTATAATTCATGTTGCAAAAGTTTCTTATATTTAATAAATTATTGTTATAATAATTTATTTTTAAATTTTATAATGATAAATAGTTTTATGAGATCATCAAATTTGAAAATGATAAAAAATTATAAAATTTACAAATATATATATATATATATATATATATATATATATATATATATTACATATAAGAAAGTATTGTATGATTTTTGTGAGTAAATATAAAATTGCATTATTTTAAAGTGATATTATGTATTATATTTTATTTTATCTTATTAAAATTGTGTAAAAAATATTTATTATTATAGGTAATATTTTTATTTTATATTTATATCAATTAAAATATATGTTGATATGACATATCAAATATTACTCATTTTATATATTCATTTGAATATAAAAATTATATTAACTTTTTCTATTATAGTAATTATTGATAATACTTTTATCTTTTTTATCTAATTTTTTAATTATTTATTGTCATTTTAACATTGAGATTTAAATTATGTGCATATTATTGAAAATATTGATATTATAATATTTGTAGTTTTTTTCTAAGTATGAGAATTTTAAAAAATTTATATGAAGTTTTGATTATGACAAAATCAAATAGTAATATAGTACTTTAAATTTTATTATTATTATTTTCTTATTTACCCTTTAACTAAAATTATTTATTAATTAAATTTTAAGAGTGATGTTGTTTGTTTTTAAATATTACATTAATAGTTATTACTTTAAATTTTAGATTAAAAGTAATTAATTATAATAATTAAAATAAATTAAGTAGTATTAAATATCATTATAATGAAAAGTGATATATATAAATTTGTTATAACAATTATTGATGGGAAGAAAATTTATTAAAAAAAGACTTTTGTAAATACAAACTATTAATTTGTATTAACCAACTAAACATTATAAAAGTTTATCTAAAACTTCCTTCTAAAACAATATTTGCATTTATGTTTGAAACAATATTTTTTCTATCGCATATTAGAATTTTAAGATTTTTTTTATTTTTAACTCTAGAGATAGTTACATATAATTGTTCATGACAAAAACTGGGTTTTGACAAATACAAATTCTGATTAGACAAAGTTTAACTATGACTTTTATTTATGGTTATTGCAAAACTTACTGCAATTGAAAATTGTTGATGCTGTAGTTTGGAAGGCATTCTTGTGTCTTATGGTGTTAAAATCATAAGTGGTATTAAGACACTTTCATCAAATTTGTATGTAGATATAACCTTTGCTTTAATCAAATAAGAAGACATCTTATAAACTAAAAGTCTAGTACCATTACAAAGCTCAAAAGTCTTATCAATATTTCTTAGCAATATTATTAAAATTCCAATCTTCAACTTTAACAAATGATTTGGAAGTTGATTTTAAAACTGTAGCTAGTACAACAATAATCTTGTATGTTCTATTTTACTTCAAAGTTACCTAAAACATAAAATTTACCTCACGAAACATGTTTTTAAACTTATTTAAGAATATTTTCCTTAGAGATGGTTAGATTCATGAGGAACATCACCAATTGTTAATGTTTTTAACAAATAAACATCAAGCGTACTTTAAAATATATGAAGTATGAAATAAGATGATAGAATCATTAACTCCTTTGGATATTATTATGATTTCAAAATAGAATTTGAACCAATTAATAGCAAATAAAAATAAAATGAGAGAAAAAAAACAAAAAAAACTCTATGAAAATAGTTGGCAAATCTCTTAGATTCACTAGAAAGTTGTTGTGAAGAAGGTTTGTAGTAATCACCCGATAAGTGTAAACATACTATTACATATAAATATTAATCCTTTAATAACAAATCGTGCAAATTGAGTTATTAGCCGGGAATAATTATAGAAAATATTTTTAAAATTATAAATAAATATTTTTAAAATATAGTAAATATTATTATTCTTGTTTAATATATTTTATTTTTATTTTATTTTATTTTTGAATTTATGTATGATTATGCACTGTAAGAGTGATTATAGAAAAAAAATTTAATTCTTTCGTAAAGTTATGAAAAGATTATAATATCACAATTAAGTTAAAATATTTAGATATTATTCTTATGGTTTTTTTATTAATTTTAATCATTATGAGCCCTATTAGTGCGGATGTAACTATTATTTTATAGTAGAATATATGAATATAATCATCAAAAAAATTATAAAGTATACTATAATAATAATTTCATATAATTATTCTTGTTTTATATAAAATACAATTTAATATTTAGTTTAAATTATTTGTTGCTATTAGAAAATTTTTAAAAAGAATTATAGAATATACTATAATAATTAGTAAATATTATTACTAGTCTTATTCAAGGTATTTTATTTTAATTTAATTATAGAAAAAAATATGATTTAAGATTGATTAGAAAGCACTTAATATAAAATATGATTTAAGATTTAGTTCAAATTATTCGTTATTTTTATTTAAATATTTTATTGTATCTTTAATTTGAAATTTGTTTATTATTAAAAAAATTTTAAAAAAGACATATTAACTATTACTTCACAATTTCGTTAAATAATTATTTTTGATATTATTGTATCTTTAATTTAAAGATTTTATTATTATTAGAAAATTTTCAAAATGAATTATAGGATATATTATAATAATTAGTAAATATTATTATTCTTGGTTAAGGTATTCTATTTTATAATAATTTTATTTTTAATTATGCACTATTAGAGTAATTATAAAAAAAATTCTCTCATATCAAGTCTAATTAAGAAGCATATAATGTAAAATATAATTTAATATTTAATTTAAAATTTTTTTTATCATTAGACAGTTTTCAAGAAAAAAATATTAAATATTATTCTATAATATTATTATTTTATACCAGAATATATGAATATAGTTATAAAAGAAATTATAAAGTGTACTATAATAATAATTTTATACCATTATTCTTGTTTAATATCAAATAAGATTTAATATTTAGTTTAAATTATTTTTTATTTAATTATTTTATTGTATATCTAATTTAAAAAAATTTATTATTAAAAAATTTTTAAGAAAAAATACTAAATATTACTTCATTTTTTTTTTTAAACAATTACTTTAGATCTTATCATATATCTAATTTGAAGGTTTTTTTTTTTAATTACTAGAAAATTTTCAAAGATAATTATAGGATATAATATAATAATTAGTAAATACTATTATTAGTCTGGTTTAAGTTACTCTATTTTGATTTAATTTTAATTCTTATTTTATCTTTGATTATATAATTACAGAAAAATTATCATGTTAAACTTTATTAGGAATCATATAATATAAAATATAATTTAATATTTAAGTCAAATTAATTTTATTTTTTATTTAAATTAATTTATTGTATCTTTAATTTGGAGACTTCTTTTATTATTAGAAAGTTTTCAAAAAAAAAATACTAACTATTACTCAACAATTTTGTTGGATAATTAATTTAATTTAATTTAATTTTATATCTAAATCAAAGATTTTTTTATTATTAGAAAGTTTTTAATTGGTAATTAGAGAAATCAATGTAATTAAATTAATTTACTTATTTACTATTAATAAAATTAAAAATCAAGAATATTATTGAATTTATTAATTTTAAAAACTCTTAAAAAAACCTTCTTATGCTACGTGTACATAAATAAATTAAGTTTTGTGTATTATATAGATTAGATTTTGAATGCTTTTAAATTATTATTTTTTTGAGTATTCAATGGACTTACAATTCATTCTGCAGTTATAAATTAAATTATAATTAAAATATAAAATAAAATAAATATATAATTTTTGTGTTGATATAATTATTTATGATATCATATTCTTAAAACTAATACTAATTTAAAAGTTAAACAATATTTTAAATTAGAACATTAATTATTAATATACATTTACTTATTATAAATCAAATTTAAATGTGTTATTTTAAAATTATAAATTAATAATTTTATATATAATTTATCAAATAAATTTATGTTAATATTTATTTTAATTCTTGAGAAATAAAAATTAGACTTCTTTAAATTTTACTGGAGTATAATACTAAAACTCATTGTTTATTAAAAAATAGTTTTTATTATATTTCTACTCATTGGTATATTTTTTTATGTAATTTTATTTTTATTTTAAAATATATAATAACAATAATAATATGTTAGATTTATATTATTTATATTTAAAAATAATTAAAAAAATTTACTATTTATTTTTATTTTCATGTCCTCTTTAATTTATTTTAAAAAAATTTATTTTATGTTTACATTAACGAAAATAATAACAATTTTTATTATTAAAGAGGATGAAAAATATATAAAATATATAAAAGAATTTATATATAAAAATATATTTATTATATTTTTAATGTAATTATATTTGATATTATTTAATATAATAAATTTTTATTATTATATATTTTTATACTTAAATTAAAATATTTGTTTATTTTAAAATAAAATAATTAAATAAAAATATAATTAAAATTGTATAACACACAAATATATTTACTAATTTATAACTAAATTATTATTATTAAGATTTAGAATGTTTAAAATTATATATAAATTAAGTTTAACTGTTATATTTATTTTTTTTATATAATTTATTTTAAAAAAGTAATCAAAATTTTTATTTTACATTTTTTATTTTTTTGTCGTATTAAAATTATTATTATTTAAATTATAAATTTTTTAAACTAAATTAACTAATAAAGAATATAAATATAGGAAAAGTTTCTTTTAGCCTGTTCCCATTTACCTTATTATGTTTTCTGTTTAAATGCTGTTCTGGAGTTGAAAAAAAAAAAACTGTTAAGATAAAAATAAAATAAAAATTGCTGTTGCTTTCGACGTTTCATTGTCTTTTTTCTCCCTATGTCTAATTTCTTTGGCAAACACATATTTTATGATCTGGGCTACCATGTATGTGTGAGAATTCACCTGCAGTTTTGGAATCCTAAAAGTAAAATAATCCCTTTTAGTCTATTATTATAGTTGCCTAATATTTGAGTGTATAAATTATCACTGAAATTTAACTTTAAAAGTTGGGAATTTTTTTTCCCTAAATACAAATAAAATTCTCTTTAACGACATTTTGCTGCCAGGATTAATTTTCCCCCTGCATGATGATGGTCCGCCATAAAGTGGAAGTAACAAGGAAAACTATGTGCGGAGTTGGGAGGGAAGGGAAGGGAAGGGAAGAAAAGTGAGAAAGTAAGCAATGGGAACGAGCGCGAGATTAGTTTAGTTAGGGTTTTGAATTGATTGTAGTGAGGGAAATGATATGGAGTTGGTCGCGAACGATGATGAGATTGAGAAGAACACAAACACTGGCTTGTCGTGTTTTTCATTCATCTTCTTCTTCATCTTCATGTTGTTGTGAGAAAAGGAAAAGCAAAGTGAATAGCGATAGTGTATGTTCCACGCTGTGGAGGTGCCCATCGGATTTGATTGCTCTCTCATTTTTCCTCTGGTCGGCCCAACGCCACCGTCACAACTCACTGGCCTTTGATCGCATGGTCACTGTGCTTCGTCGCCTCACTCATCGCTACAAAACCGTCCCAGCCATTCTCTCACAGTTGGAGACTATCGGTTGCGACTCTCTCAGGAACCCTAAATCTTTGTCGGTTCTGTTGAGGATTTACTGGCGTGCGGGTATGCACGGCATGCTTTTGGAGGCTTATCATCACATTCACGCCGCTTACGGTTTAGTAGCTGACACTTTTACTTGTAATTTGCTTATGGATGTTCTATTTAGGATTGGGCAACCCCATCTTGCTCTCTCTCTTCTCAAACACACCCATTCCCCTAATTTCTTCACCTTTAACATTGCCCTTCTTCGTCTTTCCCACTTCAACCATCTCCCTCACATCCCTCATATTCTTAGACTTATGTTGAGTTCCTGCTATTATCCCTCTCCTCTCACATTTCACGTCCTTCTCAATTCTTTCTGTAACCTCAATGCATTACCCCAGGCATATCAGCTCCTGGCCCTCATGATTACTTTGGGGATCAAATTCTCCGTCAATATTTGGACTATACTCATCCATAACTACTGTAAATTGGCTAGACTTGATGTTGCTGTCAATCTCTTCCACATTATGTCTCAAACCGGTTGTTCTCCTAATGTTGTCACATATACCGTCTTATTTAAGGCATTTATGAAATCCAACCTGGTAACTGATGCTTTTCATTTGTTTAATATCATGTTAGCTGCTGGCGAAATGCCTGATTTAATTCTTTGTAATGTATTAATTGATTGCCTTTCAAAGGTCGGCAGGTACCAGGATGCAATTCAAGTTTTTATTTGTTTGTTAGAACAAAACTTAAAACCTGATTCTTATACCTTTACTTCGTTGCTGTCTACAATCTGTCTCTCTGGAATGTTTTACCTCTTACCCAAATTAGTTCTAGTCTCCAGACATATAGATGCTGATTTAGTGTTCTGTAATGCTCTTTTAAGCTCTCTTACTAAGGCTGAGCTTCCTTCTCTTGCCATTGGATTCTATGATCATATGATTGACAAAGGTTTTGTGCCAGATAAGTACAGTTTTGCTGGCTTATTAAGTGCGCTCTGTGCTGAGGGAAGAATTGATGAAGCAGTTAATGTGTACCGTGGTGTTGTCATGAGTTATCTTGATACTGATGCTCACATCCATACTGTAATAATAAGTGAGCTTATAAAGGCTGGTAAGTATCACAAGGCTGCCAGTATTTTCAAATTAGCAGTGATGAATAAATATCCACTGGACAATATAGCATGCATGGTTGGCATTTGTGGACTTCTTAGAGGTGGAAGAACTCAAGAGGCTTGCACATTGTATGAACAGATGAAGTACAATGGTCTGAAACCTAGCATTCATACATATAATATGATGTTTTTCACTTTTTGTAAAATAAGAAATCTCCAGATGATGAAGCAGATACTACAAGAGATGATTGATTCGAGGATAGAGCTGAGCAAAAGAAATTTCTTCAACTTATGTAAATATACATATAGATCAGATGCTTATCTTTCCATTTTGAAATTGTTGGCTGAGATGAGAGATTTGGGGTTATTAACTGCTGAGGCATGGCACGTTAACAACTTTGACAGGCAAATTGAAGTTGTACAAACAAAATATAAACATTATGCAGAAGCTAATACAGAATGGATTCTAGATCCATCCAGTTCTGAAGATATGTCTGATGCAGCTGCTTCAGTTGGTTGAACTCTTATGCTTACCATGTTACCCATTTCTACATGAAGGGTTCATTCAATTTCTATACCATGAAACTTATTAGTCTATCCACACCCTGGTAATAATTACTATATTTTATGCTTTTTCGTAGTTTTTTTTTTCATGAAGGGAGGGGGTGGATGTTATCCCATTCCATCTAATTAATAATATATCTTCTTGGAGCACTTGTGTCTTCTTTGAACTTGTGTTTTCCCCCATTATTTTTTTGTCCTTGATCTTGGCATACTTTCAGCAAAGTTGCAGTGTAGCACACAATTGGGTAATGGTGACAGATTTCAATGACATTTTTTATTGGAACCCTGGAGATTTGAATGTTTTATTGGAACTTAGATAATTTTTTTTCTTCATTTTTTTCATGACTTTTTTATCTATCGAGCCTCAAATCTGTAAGTTTGTTTCACATCCCTGATTAATGTTCTTGTATGTTTATTTTTGTCGACTAGGTTACACTTAAAAGAAGGAAGATTCTTATCTCAAACAACTTTTCCCGCCTTCTGATTATTCTCTGAGTATAGCCAACAGACATGTTATGGATCCAGCAATCACTCAAGTTTACATGCAATCATTTGTTTCTTGCAGGAAAGTAGTTGTATTGTTTATGGATCCTGTTTTCTCCATATATTATCTTGATATAAGCTGGAATGAGATAGTGAGAAAAAGTATTGTAAATAATCTTTCTAAATACATTATGACTTTTTAATGGAAGCTTTTGTTACTATTTTCAATATTTGTGGAAACAAAATGAAATGTTGCAGAAATTTAATGCTTTAACTATCTTGCATTACATCAAATTGCATGCTTTGTCACACTGTTCACATATGATGTTTTAAGGAATGCCTTCAATTTTACCCTCTTCATTGATATTTGACACCTTCACGTACATTTTGAATTTACTTGCTTCTAATCTTGGGTTATCCTTAATGCTTATAGTGGCTTCAAGACTATAATAGTTTGGAAATGGTGTCTTCAGTTTAGCTGCTGACAGTTTTGATGCATTTCTGATTATTTTGCAAAGCAAAATGTGTTTGCTTTTGCACTTCTACATTTGGAAATGGTAATTTGGGAATAATGAACTTTTCTTCCTTCTAATTTGGTTTCAACAAGGCCTAAATAAATGGTCTTGATTAATTGTTCATTCCTGCTCGATAGTAATGATAATTTTGAGGTGTGGGCAGGGCTGGGAAGGTTCATGTGTTTATCATTAAATTTAAATTTAGTCCAGTTACTTAGGTGACTCCATCATTTTTTGGTTAACTAATAACTACCTCGTGTTGATTCCAGAGTTCCTTTACCAAAAGTGCTTATTGCGAAAACATGTTACAAATATAGGGATTCATCTAGGAAATTTGTGTCTAGGTCCTCAATATTAACTTCCTTGAAGGCTTGGAGTCTAAATAGTACTCTCCATGCTCATATTATGGCTCTGTTCTACCGAACAAACAAAGCAAATACCAATGGTAATTTATTTCCTTCCTCTGATTCAGGTTCATTATTGATATCTTATGATATCATGAAATACTGAACAACACTAAAAGTATTAACCATCAGTTTTCTTTTTATCATGGAGCAGATTTTCATGGGAGGATACCCTTCTTTTATTGTATGGGAGGATACCCTTGAATATTTTTTTTGGAGCAGTTTTTCCCCCCATTACGGACTGAACCTTGAGCACTTAACCATATATTGGTAAATCCCTTAGTTTAGGTCTAAAGCGTTCACTGGTGTATAGGACTACTTGGAAATCTGTTATTGCTGTTTGCTCAGAAAAACGAAATGGACATTGTTTAATGATTGTTTCTAAATACATTGATGATTAATTTGTGAAGTGTATTGACATTGTGATATTGCAAAGCTTTTTATCGATGAATCAGGGCAAAATTTAAACTCATTCAAATATTTGTTTAATTGTGTATCTGTGTTTGATACAGTGGAAATACCTTTTGTCTTCAGGTGCATAAGACTTGGAGGTTTAGTCAGTGGTGATGCTAATCAATGCAAGCAGCACAGTCTGAAGAATGGTAAATAAAGGTTTGAAAGCTGGTTCGCAAGCAATTTGGTATGGATGTGCTACCTAACATTTTAGATTGAAAAAAAAAAATACTCAATATAAGGCACCCACTTTGTAGAAATTCTTAAGCTGTGTAGGTAGGCTGTTCACCTCAATAAACTTTAAAATAACCCAGTGGGGGGATTGGGGGAGTTTGATCCTCTGAAGCATGGCGGATTGGAAATTGAGTACAATTGCCACAATGAAACTTTTCGAATAACTAAGTAACCAAGGACCATGAGTATGTAATTTTTAGTGCGACCTTGTAACTTTTCCTCTTAACTAACTCTCTTAACAGTTGAACATAAGTCTGTTAAGTTTTAACATAAAATTTGTAAACTTCTGTTATTCACAAATTTGCAATCCCCTTTCTCTATCTTCTATTTATCCTTTTAATTTTGCACATTCTGTTTTTATTTTTTCTGCTAAAGTTTGTTACGAAGAAAAAGTTAAAAGATTCATAAATGAAAATTACAAAATATTTATAAGAATTATATATATTAGAAAGGTAATACCATACCCTGTTTTTAAGAGGGAACACAACTGTCATTAAATGTCCACACTGGACTGCAAAGGTGGGGAAAATCAATGCTGATGGAGAGGGATGATATCACCTCCGTGGGAACAATTGAAATAATGAGTGGGTGTAATATTGGATCTATATTCTCTATATATAATAGGGTTGATTCAAATTATTAAAGTGGTACATTTTCTTTTTCTGATATGATAATATTTTTATCAAAAGTTTCTTCTATTTTGAAATACTCAACACAAAGAAGAGAAGCGCTCTCAGTATGCTGCAAATAATATCATGAAGAAACTCTGCTTTTGAAATGGCATTTAAGCTGTTTTCAGGTTGAAAGTAAAGTATTGGAAAAGGGCCATGAAACTCGGGCCGAACTGAAAGTCAAAACCAAGTAAGGTTAGCTTGAATGATGCACTGTTCAAGCGCCCGCCCAAGAAAGGAATGAGTAGCTAGCTAATGGTTGGTACTTGATTCTTTGTCTTATATGACCGTTAGGTTATACCTAAAACTCTGCAGTTATTATTACTATTGTTTTGTTTAAAAAGTAGTCCGGGAAATCACCGTGACTGAGGAATTTTCAACATGAGCAGAGAAGAATGAAGGTGAATGAAAGAGTTTGGGAATTTTATTAATTATTATGAATCTTGGCTGGGAATCACCAACGTCATCACCTCCGACACCTCCCTCTCCACTTCCCATTAGTTTTGGACCAGGAAACAGGAAATACTCCTTCTCAGCATCATCAACTCCTTCGCCGCCCTTCTCACTACCTCCCTCCACCCATCCATCTGATGAGAATCTTCCCCTTCTTCACAAGACATTAGGTAGTCCTAATGTGCCATCAGTATTTTCATTGGATCGCCGAGATTCTCAAGAATTGGAATGCAAGAGTACATGTCTCAGGGACTTGTAAGTCCTCTTATCTTTTCTACACATACTTTCATGCAAGTACGGTCATCACTCACCATATATTAATAACAATTGCAACTGAATTTTTTATTTTTCATTCCATCTCATAAGTTTAGCGGTTGATTGGATGCTAAATTATCATGTACAGAGTGGGGATGGTAATTAAGTGAACAGCATAGAAATTACTGGTGGGGATGCTTAATTATTTTACTGAGTGTGAATCATTTGATAGTTTAGAATAGTCTGCTTCCTTTTGTCCTAGACTACTACACACCAAATGACCGCTCTTGGACTGGTAGGTTTAGTTCCATGCATTTCAAACAGGTAATTCTTTCTTGAGAAGCAAAGCAGACACCCACCAGTCAAACGCAATAGGGTGTCTTCCCACCTTTTATTGATGGATCATGAAGGTTGAAGATAACACTAACCACCTTTGTGTTTTCATCCGCTGATTAAGAACAGGTTGGAATGGTTTATACAAAGATTTTGCAGTTGCTGTGACAAATTTCCTTGAATCTTCCTATCGCCAGAGAACAGCACAAGGAATCAAAGCAGTGGTCAACATAATTTATTCCAAAAGATTATTGTGTAGGCATTAAATTCGACTAAGTTTCTTCTTCTCAGACGGCATCTAACATGTCTGCTGAAGCATTAAAACTCCTTAACCAATTTTATTTTCCATTATTTTTGTTTGAAAAAAACTTCACAGGAATTTGTTTTAGTTTGTGGAGCTTTTTTTTTCTTTGGTATTTTCATGATATTGAAATTTTAGAGGCTATATATCTAAAATGTCAAAGCATCTTATAGTGTGTGTGGATAAGCAATTGTAAATGTGATTTTGACTAGTGATTTATGTTTCAAAACATTTATTTACAGAGTAAAAGTTTAGTAAAGCTTAATATAAAATTTTAAAATACATTCTCTCTTTTTGGGTCAACTGCGGTTTTAAATGCAACTGATATTTACTCATTGCAATCAAACATTGCAAAAATTTACGAAAAGACAGTTATCCCATGCAGAAACGCTCTCCCAAATACACTGTTACTCAATTCGGTCAGTAACAAATAAATGGATATCTAGATGATAGGCGATGCAATGATGTAACGAAGTGATTAAAAAAAATTGTGATGCGAAAAGTAAACATCTCTACAGTTCCATCACCATCCCCGCTGGCAACTCCTTTTCAAGCTCTTTATTATGGGGAATTAAAAAAACCCAATCAAAATTTGGGGTGAAAAGCGGGGTGGACCGATACCCTTCGTCGTGTTTGGGTTTGCTTTAGTAAAAACATAATGAACATCATAGGATATCGTGCCTAAAAGAATAAAATTTAATTCTGAATCACTAAGCCCTATTATGTTCTTCACAAAAACTAATTTCTAAATTCTAATGCATGTTTGCAATATTGTAATGCATTAATACAAGCACACTATAAATCCTATTAACTGGAACCAGTTAAGTTCTTTTTTTAACAAAATTAAAACAATTTCGTAAAAAAAAAGAATTAAAAAAAAGGCTAGATTCAGTTTTAGGGAACCATATTTCTAGAGCAACATGGTTCGGTTCAGTTTTCTAAACTGAATCCATCCATGCCCAGCCCTATTACTGTGGATTTTGTTGTCTCTGTTGGGAGAAATTGGGATGATTCTGTTGTGCGTTCGGAAGGGTCACCATGCCAGATTGTAGATTCTGTGCATTTGATGCCATGCTACCAAACGCTTGTGAACCATGTTGCTGCTGTTGTATGGGCATCATACCACCAGGATTGCCACTTCCCATGTTAAATACTGCAAGGTAAACCCCCCAGTGATGATTCAGTAACGAGTCATACACACAGAGAACATAGCACACAGAACATAGAATAAATAATACTCCAGGTTGCATCACAAACCTTTCAAGAAGTGCAGACAAAACAAATCAGGTTAATGAAATCATAGAATTAAAGATATCGAGGAATAAAATTCATACTTTGATCACTCATCATTTGGGAAGCATGACTTCGCTGAGGGTTGTTTCCAGATAACCCGAACTGACAAAACAAATGCAGAGCAAGTTTGAATTTGTTATCCTCATGATTTACGGTTAACCAAAAGCAAGCCAACACAACTATTCATTCTATACAGACGATGAAGAACAAAATAAATGCATGATAGAAATTATTTTGCAAGAGAAAACAGTCAACTTAAAAGTGCGTGCCAGGGAAGACCAGCTGATCCTTATGCAAATGACAGATGTCATAAGGAAAATTATTTGCCATAAGATTTCAAAAGATAAAAGACAATAAAAATTTCAAAAATGGAAATATCAATTTCATAAATTTGTAAATTAGAACAACCAACAAAAAGTCACTAATCAGTTTCTATTTTAACTGATTGGATGTAGTGAGAACCTTGAATCATCAGGAAGTATAATGTGCATGGAGTTAGTCAAACAAAACAATGACTAAACTCTACTAAGTCAAAAAGTTCAAAAGCATTCCCAGAACACTATATATAGATCATTCACCACGAAGTCCTTTGACTTCTCTTCTTTGTTTCATTCTAATCCCACAAAATTTATACTTCAATTAAACCAATTAGACCTATTAGGAATACACAGTAGGCAGGGGAGTCATCAAAGACAAACCTGCACCCGTGGTAGAAGAGACTGTGAAGGTATTGTAGCTGAAATGTTTGGAATCTGATATTATGAAGCAAAAATCATCATAGAAGTAATTAAGCACATTAACAATAAGGGCAGACAAAGAGACACAGCAAAAGCACATCATCAAAGATCCAGAAAAACAATCTTTTTAAACAGCATGAGCAGCAGAGCATGACAAGAAATCTCATCCCAAAACATATAAAACACATCCAGGAATACATTGCAATATATGATCTCAAGAGAGCTGTACTATGTACACATTTCAGAAGGCTCCATTTCCATTAATATAAACAATGATTTTCACCCGCTCAAATTTTCAAGCCATAACGTTTTGGATGAATATAAGCCATTCTGCACCACCAATTGTAATTTCATTTTCCACCGAAGAAGCCATAAAAAATCCCTCTGGCTGAGGTACACTCCAGCACTACGGAAAAGAGCACAAACTGCTCCGTAACATCTTGTAATAGGACAATTCAATATGGTTAGCTGTTTTCCATGTAGTTAACAATAGCATTATGTATTTGTCACACCACAAATATAAAAGACATATAGCCTCTTTGCAAAATAACTAAAATGGTTTATAATGCTTGAGTGTAAAAGCTTTTGAAAAAAACCTAGTCTATAAACTGGAAGAAATGCAGTGAGTTCAAATAACTACAAGCCCTTAACAGAACAAATATACACAAGTATGATTACTTTACTCCCACCAAAGAGAAGGTTTGCAAGAAATGAAAACAAAAATTACTGTCAAACACATAGAAAACAGACAAACAATGGAGATGCTAATGAAAATTACTGCAGAAAGGCAAAAAACACAACTAAAACAATGACTTCAAAAAATTGTCTTCTTTCAAATAAGTTTCTTTCATCCTTTTAATTTATTAAATTACTTGTGGGGTTGGCTTTCCCTCTAAAGAGGTACTGAGGAGGATAGGAGGAAAGCAATTATAGCACTAACAGATTGTCCAAGTAATTCAAGAAATTGGCCATTACTTCCTCCTGCAGTTAGCTGTTCATGATATATATAGTCATAGTTAAACAATCTGTTATTCAGAAAACTTATATTACATGACTATCATACCATTTGGGTATTAGGTGTAGTTTGAGCAGCACTGAATAATGCACTGTTAGCAGGACCAGAAAACTGGCTTAATCGAGTCATCTGATTTCCTTGATTGAGTTGGCCTTGACCAATGTTATGCTGAACATGTCCAGAAGGCAGCTGCCTACCCTGAAATTGCTGATGCCCAAGTGGTTGAGAAAACTGCATCTGATGTTGTCCATGCAACTGAGGACAAAAGCCAGGCTTGTTACTGCCAAGAAAGAGAGGAGAAAGATACAAGAAATAGGACTAATTTAATTTCTATTTGGCCACTAATGTGTTCTTGCGTGTATTTGTGGTAGTTAAACTTTCCAAACAGGACGTCCTTGAGTTCTTTTCTTTTTTTAATTGATAACTAAAAATTTACTAGGGTCCTGAAGCAAGCAGGCAAGTACATGCGTGTGCACATCCACACACACACCGAAGAGGGAACAATTTACACCAATTTAAGACTTCACATTATTATACTATTCATAACTTCATATACAATATAATTTCTATTGATTCAACTATTTAATTATAACTATCCGTTAACTTGATTATTTGTATTAAATATTATAAAAATTGAATATGAATTTGTTTGATGGACAAGATAGAATAAGAAAAGATATGAGAATTGGATCAGACGTTTGATGCATACTAGGATAACAAAATAAATGGCATTATGCTATCTTATCCTTTCTATTCCGAGTTTCCCACATAATAAAATTTACTCTAGAGAGGTGGATAGAAAAAACCTATAGGATACACTTTGAACAAGGATTCTGAGTAAAGAACTATTTTAATTGTGGTTTTAATGTGAACAAACATTTTGAATAAGATCTAAAACATATTATATTTAAGAATGTTCGACAATGACAAGATTCAAAGTCTAAATGGCGGAAATCATCTAACTAAGCAGAGGAGTAAACTTAGAAAATAAGTATAATATGTTCAAAAAGTTTATTTAAGCATCAATAGACTCAATTCAAAACCCATTCATTAGAAGACCCGTCAAGATGATATGAAAGATGGAGCAAAGTCATTATAAAAAGAATCTTCTAAAGTTTAAGATGGTCAAAACAAGTCACCAACCATCCGCTAAATGCTTTATATGGATGAAAGAAATCCTCTAAAAATTTTGAGGTAGATTCAAGGGGGAAATTTGGATCATCAAAAGACTACTATTTTACTCAAACAATTCATTGAGAAAGACTCAAGCATCAAAAGCTTGCATGTATTATCAAGCAACTCAAATTGCTGCAAAAAGTCTTAGACAAGAAATAAATGTTTTTTCGGATTTTCATGATATTAAATGCTTTCATTTTCATTTAGTTTATAATTTTTATTCATTAGTGGGAGCATGTTCACTTTTTTAAATAATGGAACCGATTACAGTTGTTAGAGTTGAAAATTCCCATTTTTATGTATTGCAAATCAGTGCAATATTGTACGTTTAAGACTGAAGTAATATAACATTCGAAAGCCTCAAGCCTCAAGACAGTTACAGAAACTTTTGAATTTAATGCCCAAAGGCAAATTTTGACTCCTTTGATATGCCGATATGTGTAATCTTGCTTCTTAAAATGAACTTGACCATTCAGTCAATCCAAGGCAGGTTCATGTGATTTAACTTGTTCGTTACTGGTTTAAACTAGTACTGAACCATGGAAGGTTCTCAATTCACTGGTTTTGAAGTCATCACTAGACCAGCCAAAGGACCAATTCCTTGTTGAACTGGTCTGGCTTTCAAAATTATTGTTTTCTCCTTCAATAGGACAAAAATTTATTTACAATCAATTTTTTAACACATGCTCAAGAGGGTAACTAGTCCACAAAATGATTATTAGAATATACTCTAACTAGTAACTAGTCTTTAAGGTTAGCTCAAGGATGTTTCACTTAATGCAAAATGCGTAGTTTGAAATTTTTACCTGTCCCAGCCCAATTGCAGATTGCCTGAATTGCTGCTGAGCAAGAAGTTGCTGCTGCTGCTGTTGAGGTAACTGCATCAGTTTCTGCCGTTGCTGCTGCTGTGCTGATGGCTGCTGCTGCTGCTGTTGTGGAGTTTGTTGCTGAGGGGATGGTGTATTCATCATGTTTGTAGAAGACCTAGGTGAATTGGCATATGGGATAGGTGAAGCTGTTGTATTGTCAAAAGAAGCGGTGCTGGTTGCAGCAGAAGGAGATGCTGCAGATCTTCCCAAAAGTTGTGATCCTGAGGTCTATAGCAGTAATATTTGGTGAGAACTGAGAAGTTAAAAAATTACTAGAGAAATCGATATTATTCAAAATTTCAAACCACCCAACGAAGTAACTAGTTTTCAACAAAGCCTAATATCCTTCAACCAACTAACGATGAGGTTGGTTTCACAATATTAAAAAACCAAAAGTGAAAAGGATAATCGAATATCCAGATATTAAACCATCGTGGAAATGTCAATGGCCAACCTGTAACAATGAATTCTGGCCAGCCATGCTGTTTGAAGACTGCGGGGTATTCTTCATATACATACCTGAAAGTAATACATATAAAATGTCACTTAGTGGCAGAATGATAAAATCCAGAGGTAATATCCACAATATTTTTTAAATGAACAGTTAAGAGTGATGAATTGTTACCAGATCCATCAGGAAAAGACTGTGCAGCCTCGTTGACAGCAAGTGCATCTGCCAAATGCAGTGGAAGTGCAGGAGTAATCTGCCTCTGGTCTGCGGGTATCCTTAATCCATCGCCAGCATTGACAGCAGCACGGAGTATATTTTCTTGTTCTTGAATTTTGGCAGCCTGGCCCTTGTCCAAAGTGGGGGCAATGGTTGGGCCTTGACGTGTTCCGAAGCAATAGGCTTTGCGAGTGTCAGCCAAGACCTTCTCAGCACCTTCACAGGCAGCTGCAATCATATCAATTCTAGCCTTCAACTTGTCGAGTTGAGTTGCGATTGGAAGGTTTTGCATCCCCTGAAGCAGTTGATCTCTCTTAGAGCAGTCGTCCATCTCCATTTCGGGGAGTAGTTTTGAGGAAAGCATAACAGGAAGTACTGCAATCATGAATTGAATTGAATTGAACTGAACTGAACTGAATTGAGAAAAAATGAAAGACGAACTAACTCACTGGTGGCATTATCGGCATTAACGTTCTTGGGATGGACAAGGAATGCCTTGGAGACCTTCTTCATTTCGTCGACGATGTTGAAAAGCTCAAGGTTGACCATGGAATACTGGCCGAGAATGTCTTGCCATTTGGGAGTGGTGTTGGTGCGAGCGTAGGCATCGAAATCTTCCAGAATACGAGAGATGGCTTTGAAGAGGCTAATAGCACGGGTCTTCACTTGTTCCAGATTTAGCTGCTGCTGCACTGCCTGGTTCAGCCGCTCTTGTGACTGTGCCTGCGATTGTGCCTGTGCCTGTGCCTGTCCCTGTCCCTCCATTGCTATTGCTTCAATCTCTTCGCATCCACCCCCTCCCTTCTTAACCTCAACTCCTCTCTTAGCACTTTTTTTTTTAATAGCTTTTCTTTTCTAAATTAAAGATATCAAATTTTCAAACAAAATTCAAGTTAAATGAGACTTTAATGATTAAAAAAATTGTTTTCGTTAAAAATAAAAATTTATTTTTTAATATTATACACATACGCACACGTCAAAAATTCATATTTCTTTTCTGAAAAATTTCATTTATTAATTATTTTACATTCGAAATTACGATATGAACTATAATTAAAAATATGTTTATATTTTAGACATGAATTTTAAGAAGATTTAGTTTAACTGTTCATTGCAATTTCAATATATTTATGTGTTTGTCGTGCCTTGATTTTTTTTTTTTGGAGGAGTTTTTTTTTTATCATTGCTGTGAGGAGGGAGAGTAAAATACTAAATTAATAATGAAATTACAATCAATCTTTCATGAATAGGATCTATATAAAACATACGTATATATCAACGGATCGCGACATCTTGATAAAATAAAATTGGAACTCGTCAATATATCTCTCAAAATATATATAAAGAAAATAAAACATGTGTCATTTTAATGTGAAGACAGATCAATTCGATTCTTACAAGACACTTATTAATCATTTTATTGCAAAATTCGATGTATTGAGGCCAACTTGGTTCATAACGTGAGGAACAAATTAATGGATAGTCAACAAATTCTAAAATTAAATTAACTAGTACGATAGTAATACTATAGATCGTTTCGATTAATGATGCAATTTTTAAGGACTAAATCTATGTTCTACTCGGAATAAAAAGTTCTTTGTTAAAGCATATATATATGGCAGTAGAATCTCCTCAAATGAGACGAAGTTGCAAAATTAGACTACTAAGTTTGAGCGAAGAACCCTCAATTCAATAATTCAAAATCACATTTCGACCTATTAATAGTTTTGATCATCAAATTAATTTTGTAAAAAAAATTATTTAATCATGCTCTAAAAAAATTAGAAATGTTAATATAATAATCTTTAACTTTACTATAAAGAACAAATATAATAGAAAATTTATTGAAAACCTAATTTAGTTATAACCCTTTGGAAAAATAATTGAAAGACTAATTCAATGATTAAATTTTTTTTAAGATGAAAAATAGATCGAAATTTTTAAAAGAATAATGTACCACGCATGCAATTATTTGGAAATAAAATAAAATTTTTCTATCAAAAGGTAAAATTATACGCAAAGACACTTAATAAGAACTTAACATACTTGCTAGTGTAATGTCTCACGAGTAGTGGTTGCAATTAGTATTTTAGTTCCTTTTGCAAGGAACTTAACATAACAATCAATGTTCAATTGGTATTCAATTGATTATATTTCCTTATTGTCTCGCAAGATTGAGAGTGGAGCACTGTCGTGGGTTAGGTAGCTTCCGAAAACTCCCTTGTGATTTGGCATATGGGCAATAAACATGATTTCCGTTAAAAACATAAAATAGCAGCGAGTTATTTGCGTGATTTCCATTGAAAGAACGGGCTTACATTACAACAGCAGAAGAAAAAAGAAAATAAAGGAGGACATTATTGATATACATTGATTTGAATTTAGGAGGACTCTAATGTAGGACTGGGATGATAGTGGGACGAACATAAAGAACTGTACAATGTGGTAGGCAGGCACATCATGTAATTTACAAATCCTTGTCTGCAAAAGTGAGTAGGCGAAGCAGCATTAACAGAAGCATAAGATAAATCTGAAGTTGCTTAGCGAAGGAGGTGAAGTGTGAAATGAAATATTACCGATGTATTTATTTGAATTCATCTTGGTCGTCAGGTTGGTCTTGAGGATGGGAATCAGAATCGAGGGGTTGAGGAGCAGCAGCGCCTGAAATGAAGTAGAATGAGGGGGATTCTGAGATGGAGAGAAAGAGGGAGTGTGAGTTCTCACTTCTTACCATGGATGAAATAGGAGGAAGAAGGCCATGCAGGAAGGTGAGGAGTGATGGGATTGGGAGAGGGAGAGGCCAAGTGGTGGAGCAATAGGGCGAGAGCGTTGGAGGGTTGGGGTGGGACCCAGTACGAGGCACCCGGGAGGAAGGGCAACCAATCGGGCGCAGATCGCCGAACCATTATGCACTGAACCGCATCCTCCAGCTTCCTTACAAGGGGATCCGAACTCGACGACGATTGGCATCTGCGATTCAGCATCTGACACCGCGGAGAGACACTTAGGGTTAGGGCTATGGATCTTATTCTTGCCATAGATGTGTATGGATTTGGGATTTGGGATTTGGGAGAGTCAGACACAGTCACCCATGGCTTATAAACAAATAAATATAGAAAAGAAAATGTGAGGACCCCACCGCCTACTCCGCGTTGGGCCTCTACACTCCGTGGATTGGGCTTGGAAGGTCCAAACATTCAAAATAGGAAAAAAAGAGTCCAAGGGATTGTTTTGTAACGTTGTTGGTAAGATATTCATCCATTCCTTCCTTCCTTCCTTCCTTCAAACTTGAATTTCGATTCGTCTGATCTAATCAATGAGATCAAAATTGGGGTTTGGTTGCACTTGCACTTGCAATTGCAGGTCTTTCTTTAATATTAAGGTAAGGTAAGTCCACTCTTATTTCAAATTGCATTCAATTAATTCAGTCAGTTCCAGCTCTCCCTCTTTTTTCTTCATTCATTAATCATTATAACATTATTTATGATCTACAAAGCCGATACGGATAGATCTTCTGCTTGTTGGATCTTGTCTACTTTTTATGGCTCTAATAATAATCGTAATCTACTCTCTCTCTTATGGAGTGATTGCGTTTGCGACTTGAAAATCGAAATGAGATATGCCGTTGTTGTGACTTGGAAGCCAGCCTTACCTTAGCAAGGGCAAGGGCTTGGGCTTGGGCTTAGGCTTAGGCTTAGGTATATGCATAGGCATAGGCAACTATATATGATAAAAGAACTTAAACTAACTTGTTACGATGCCACAGCCTTTGCAAATTTCTAATTTTATTGCTATTTCCTTTCCCTTTGTTTCTCATTAATTTGCAGGTTTCTTTCTTCTGTTGAAATGGTCTGTAGTAATTATACTTCTTCCAATGAATCTCATTGTTTAATCCTGATTATACATTTCCCGAAATGCAATTAGCGTCAAATGGTGACAAGGAAGAATGTTCAGAAAGCGAACCCATCTTGAACCAGCATCTTAATTTGCCACCCTCTGCCGAATCCTCCTTTTCCTGCGAAATTATTCCTGCCACTCCCAATGACGATGATTTACAGAATGTTCATGTTGATGAGACTTGTCATCTCGTAAATGCCGATCAGTCACAATGCAGGATATGCCTTGATATTGGAGGTCTATAGATCATCATAATTTCTGTTACTTGTATCCTTTGCCTGATGATTTCTCAATTTGAGATATTTGTGGGCTTATGACCTACTTGCAGCTCCTATGTATTTGAAACTCAGCCACTTACTAACCTTAAAATCAATTTTCAGGAGAAGATTTAATTGCCCCTTGCCATTGCAAAGGTACGCAAAAGTATGTCCACAGATCATGCCTCGATAATTGGAGATCCACCAAGGTAAACTTATTTTTCCTTGTTGGTGTTCCTTCTTCTTGACATAACAATACTAATATCTGATTCAAATGCAGTAGAACTATCTATTTGCTATTATAGATCTAGTTTTTATGTTCTTTTCACTGTCGTGTGAAGGTCTACAGTATATCATCGTTCATCAATGCTTATTTACTGACTTTTCATTTCTTCTTGTTGTATTAGGAGGGCTTTGCTTTTTCTCACTGTACAGAGTGCAGAGCTGTCTTCATATTGCGTGCAAATGTCCCACCAGATCGGTGGTGGTTGAGATTAAAATTTCAGTTCCTTGTTGCTAGGGATCATGCTTTCATTTTCATAATTGTTCAACTGGTATGGAGTTAATTATCTCATTTATGTATTGTGAAATTGGTACTCACATCAATGACATTACTTTTGCCCTCTCTTTCCCTTTTTGTTTTATGTTGGTTGACATGAACAATCCTATTTGTATTCATGATTCCCCTGTGTAATGTTTGAGTCTGTTATTGATATTGCTGCCATATCCCCTAGGATTCTGGATAACTTCATATATTTGAAGATGCACTGTGCAACAAGTTGTGCTGATTCTTGGAAGAAATCTCAATTGATAGTTCTTGTCTCTGATGTAACAAATTATTTTGGGGAAACTCACTTCAATATTCTCTTGATTGGTAGTACCGTAGTAGTGTTGTAAAGAAAGAAACAACCATAGGAAATAGAATATTATTAGCATGTCTAGTTTCTTCCAGAAAGTTACACTGATAAATAAGTTTTGGTTGGGACAGCCAAAGAGAAATTAAATGATTGAAGGGGATGAGTTCATCTTTAACCTTTGAAAAAATTAAGTGTAGAATTATTTTTGGCACAGTGTGCAGCCAGGGGGTGTGGGGCACTCAAAACCCAAAAAGCGCTCTGCCCCTGCTCCCTGATTTGAAGTAATAGCAAATTAGCAACCTTAGTTCTTATCCATACTATGGCTGTAAATGGCATATTTTGTTAAAGCTTAAAATTGTAGCCTAACAAGGGCCTGCAGTTTATTTTAGTTCCAAAGGAATAAAAGTTTGACAAACAAGTGACTAAAGTATCTTATAATCTCAGTAACATAATAATTCTTCTTTATGACAGCCTTCACAGAAACTGAGACCTGGTTGGTTACTTTGGCTGAAGTGTCATTATAGTAGAGAAAGTGGATGTTGATTCTAATGTTAAATATCCCATTCCACATAATCAAAACCAAACAGCATGGGGTGCAGGTGTAAAAGAAAGCCATGAAACATAATTTAGTTCTCAAGTTTGATGGTTGAAGTTGATTTGATATACTTTGAGGGTCCATTGCCACCCAAGAATATTATTTGATGGGATAACTATTACTATGTATTATAAATTTGTTAAAATTACATACTTGAAAAGATAGTCTGTTAAGTTCTCTCCCTCTTCTATTTTTTACAGGTTGTTGCTTTCTTGGGAGTGCTTGTGTACAGATTTTATGGCGATGAACTGAGAGAAATGTTTGGTTATGAAGAACATCCATATGGATTTTATACAATGGCTGGTACACTCATTGTTTCCCCTCAAGAAATTTCATGGGCAATGTTTGCCACTTTTTATTTCACTTGTGACTATTTCATATTAGGATGTTATAGTTTGCCAATTAGCTGGTAAACTCATTGGTTTATATGTAAGCTGGTATACTATCTAAATCTACTCACTTTATTATATGTGATGACAACTTCGTTATATTTATTTCTTTTGCAGTCCTAGCCATTGTTTTGGTGGGTTTGCTCTATGGCTTCTTCATAGCAATAATATGTGGCCAAAGAATTAATGAACGCCACTACCATGTTCTTGCCAAACAAGAATTGACTAAGGTCTGATATTTAATTTATGAATTTATATCAATTTGACTTACAATCTCCAGAAAACCAACGCGTGTTATGTAAAACTAGTAATATGATTGTTATTAAACAGGTCTTTTGGTCTTAACATATGAACATTTTTGGGAAAAAATAGCATTTAAATTTACGATCTTGTATATCATATAAGGAATATCAATTTATCTTTTTATAAAATTTTGTACGCATTAAACTCTTGACTTTGTTCTTTACCTTCAATTTCAGGAATATGTGGTAGAAGATCGAGAACATGTAAAGAATGTCCCTGAACTTGATCCCAGCCATGTGACAGAACTGAGGATGTTGGGCCTGTACTAGCTGGTATATCCATATCCCATTCTTTCTCTTCAAAATTTCTGTTCTTCGTTTTTGAAATGTTAAGTTTGAAACTGCCCGGTTTCATTCAACCCATATTGTCCTTATACGGAATTTTTGTAGCAATTGATGGAAGGTAAATATTGCATTGTTTTTGTTTTGCTTTCTAATTTCATAATCTAAAATGCCATGTTAGTCGTCAAAATCATCCTCACCTCAGCAATGCACCTCTATCAAATTATTTTTTCCATGGCTCCATTCTTTCACATTATGTGTGTGTGTGCATGTCCATCAAATTCCAATGTTCTTGATTCTTTGCTTACATTATTCTCTGTAATTCTTTTCATTGCGTCATTACTATGATAAAAGCACCTGAATCCTCTTCTAACTGCAGGAAGCATCTTACGCACAGTGAATTTGTTGCATTTGCAGCTTGTCTCCATGGCCCCTCACATTTGTACACGACTTTGGTCTGTTCAGGTGGATGTCCCGTTAATATTGCTGTTGGGGCACCAACTGCAAGTGGCACACCCACAAGGGCCTCGTTTGTTCCAATACCCTGTGTACTCTATTTTGATTCTTTTTTCTTTTTTTAATTATTGCTTTTACAGCAAACTTATGACAGATATATACTAATTCAACTAGCATATTACTCTTTGTACCAATGCTTTTTGGTGGAGTATAAAGGAAAAAAGTGCAGATCCTATAAACATGTAGCTGCTGCATGGAGATATTTGTAGTTGTAACTTACAAGCCCCTGATGTAACCCACAGTTCACCTTTATTTTGCATTTTTTCTTCATTTCATAAAATATATTATAATCGGATATAGATTTATCCTTTCCATGTTTTTTAACCTAATATTTGCTGGGGTTGTGTTTGCTTGTGTAGATCTAAACAGCTATATACAGTCTAGAATATGCTGCATGCGACATGGACAACTGTTATTGTGACGAACTGTATTATCATGGCATTTTTTCTTCTATAGAAATTGTTATTGAGGGATATAAAAAACGTTGGAAAACATTTCATATTCGGAAAATGTGCCTATATCAGTATCTTTTTTTTTTTGGCTTATCATAAAATGAATCCTACTTGATTCGAAAAATATGTTACCGTCCGAGTGGAATCAATACTTACAATAGTCCGTATAAAAATTCATTTTTATAGTTCGGGTGTACGTCCAAAAAAGAAAATAGTCCGGGTGATGTGTGCCGAATATTTTGCTTTTTATTATTATTATTATTAAAACCTGAATTCAAGTAATATTACATGTTTCATGGAATCTTTTGACATTATTGGCAACATAGAATGACAATGTATAAAATAAATATAAATATTCCCACAGCAAGAGAACACCCGAAGAGCTATTTTCATATACACCTTTTGGTAATTCCTTCCAAAATTTTCCAATTATGGTCAAACAGCCAGCTTTCTGCATACTTCTTATTTGTTTGCTAAAAACGTTTCACATCCCCTCTTAATTGTAGTTCCTACACAAGGTCCACATTCCATACTTCCAAATGAATGTTCCTGATATGAACTCACCGTGGGGAGAACGAATCCAATTGCGAAATAGTAAACTACGCATAGCAAACAATGTGCATAATCTGGTTCCTTCCCAGGCATTAGACTTCCGAATGGCCAAAAAAACAACGAAAAGTATTTAATGGCACAACTCTAACAAAATTCACATGATAGATAACGCTCACAATTAATTGTCTACTTGATTCAAAATTAAGCAAAACTTAATAATGAATTTTTTAACATGTGTAACTTTACAAATACATGGAGAATTAATAAGTATAGAACAAATAGGACCTGAAAGCAGCTAATCCTACTGAGCACCACAACCAACTTCATAAAACCACATCCATTAGAAAGAATTAACTCCTTAGGAATAATAAACGAATAAGAATTTTCATTAGCTATACAAAAACTACGAGTTTGAGAGAGGGAAAATGAAAATCACCGACGTCAGTTGTAGATTCATCACACTTACCAATAACACTTAGGCTTACAAAATACAAACAACTTCAACCACCATTTTTTTGGGGGGGAATGTGATAAGAAAATACTTCTTTAAAGAAGAATACCCAAGAGTTTTCTGGAGCGCGTAACTACACTGGAATGACATCAATCTTTGATGTGTCCTCACATATCAAAATAATACCCTCAAGGCTAGCTGGAAATATACATTTAGCCCATTGGCATCCGGTAGTCAAAGGCTCAGGGGGAGGGACAATCATAAGCACATTCTCATTTCTTTGAACAACTCCCATTACACTGACTGTGCTACCTTCTTTGATGTACCTACAAAAAGATCAATGGCAGTTACATGAGAATATCCTACCCACCCAGGGTTATCCCAACTTTCTTATTTTGATGCTTAAACACTAAAGATCTTGCCATCATCATCATTAGTACCATGATGCATAGCATGAATTATGCAGACCCTAATCAGATAACGAAAATAAGTTACTGCACTATTGGAAAGGATTACTTTTAACGGTTTTATTTACACCAATGTATATAACCTGGATAATTTGGGCTCTTATAGAGGATGAAGTACTTTACCCTTCTTTTAATCGCATTATTCTATCATCACTTGAAAGGTTTCGCTCTCGCAACCATCGAAGAAACTCTGGTGACATGTCTTTATTATCAGGATTAACATCTATTACAATAGAATCGTCAACATAAGGAGTCACCCTTGCACCATAGCCTGTTTTGACCAATGCTCTCAATCCAGATTGGAAATCAGAGATGTAGAAATCCACCACATGTCTCTACATTAAATAAATGTTAAGTAAAATATTAACATATTGAAGATATAATAGATAGGAGTAGGACAGCAAAATCCCCAAAATACATGTCTGGTCCACACAAGAAAACAGTTAAAAGAAGGTGATTAAAAAAAAAAACTTCCCAACACAGAGAGACAACACTCATATTACATCAGGCATAAAGATATACTTTGCAACAGAAAAAGAATACCCATATAATGAATAGTAGATAAAAAAAAGTCTTCAGAGCAAGAACCCCTAGCCCAAACAAATTAATCAATCAAAAGCAAGAAAAGAAATATTTGTTGAAAAGCTTGTGTGGAAAGTTAAGAGAAATAATAATAATAATAATAATAATAACAATAACAATAACAATAATAGTAATAATAACTTCCCTTTTAACAGCGTGAAGATTTATGGCATAAGAAGCTCCTAGAAACCAAACATAGCACTGTACATAGTCCATCCTGAGAGTATTTCTAATTTTCTATTACGATGTAATAGTACATATAAAGGTAAATAATAGGACAGTGGAGAGATTATAAAATTAGTAAAATACGTCAACAGAATAGATTTGACCATAGGAAGGAAAAGATGAAAATCTGCTCACATAAGCAAAGTTCAGAATGAACAATATCTAATTAATCTCCACAGCCAATGTATATATTAAGAATCTTCAAAAGTAATCTCTAATAAAACTGAAAAGAGAAGATTTAACATATTATTGCAATTACCTCAGCTGCTCTGAGTCCCCATGTAAAACGGCGATGTTTTGGGTTGGCTTCTTTTGAATCCCACCCTCGATATTCAAACAAGCTTGTAGATGTATATACACATCTAGGAACTTGTTGAAAGGAGGACTCCAGGGGAACATTACCACAGGTAACCACCTTCAAAGCAAAGTATGAACCATTGGAAATACACATCTCATGCTACAACAGCATACTTCATTCATTCAAGCACATATATAACAACATAAACAACAGCCAGAATGGCAAAATTACAAATAAGAGGCATGCACAAGCCATTCAATTCAAACCCATTGATATCCATTACATAATAATCAGTAACATATCCACAAAGCCAAGGGTGATTAGTTATGCATGCATTTATGCTTTTTGCATGTTTGTAAGGTTAATTAAGGATATACATGCATTTATCAATATTAGCATACATACCCCAGAAACCTTCACAAATTGCCCATTCTTGGCAGTTCTAAGCTCAGCATCAGGATAACGAGAAATGAACCCAACAATGGCTGTCCTCCCACAACAACTATTCCAAGTGAATAGTGCAGCAACAGCACCAAAAAGAACTACCACAACAACAAGGAGAATGGCATTGTGGACGGCTCCAAGAATAAAAGCACCAGCAATGAATCCCATAATAAAAATCAGAATCACAGACCACAATATGGGCTTTGGGAAGTTCCTCCTGAAGGAATATTCATCATCTAGGTTAAGAGTGGTCACGGCTGGATTGTGAGCTATAGAGGAATTGTGTGATTTCATTGATCCTGTAGAGTCTAATGGACCAGACACCTTCCTTGGAGCCCCAGATGAATTTAGTGGACCAGATGTAATAAGACCAGTTGTAGGAAGAACAGGTGGAATTGGACCAGAGTTTTGGCGTGTAACTCCGCCAGATTGAGGGCCAGATGACTTCTTCACTGGTTCCCCATGTTTGTTCAGCGGGCCAGAGTTGGTCTTCTTCATGGAGACTGAAGCAGACATGCCTCCAGAAGAAATGTTTCCTGAAGTGGTATAAATAGAACGAGCTGCTGTATTTGGCAAGATAGGCCCAGAATGTGAAGCAGCACCGGCAAATGATCCAGTCCGTGAAGGAGCATTGTTTAGCTGACCAGATTTTCTTGATTTAGAATCCATGGGGATATCAAACATTTTCCCTAGTTCTCCTGATTTCTTGATGTCACCGCCAGTGTAAGGCATGGCAACTGAGCTCATTGCTGGAGTTCTTTCTTTCGGCTGTTCGGGCCGGCCTGATACATACAGGCCATTGCTGAGCTGATGAGATGGGAATCTTGAACCCATCAGGCTTCTTTAAAGCAGCCAAAAGAGGCAACCCAATATTAAACAATAGCCTGACGTGCTGAAGTAGTAATCAAAATATTACTGCGACAAAGTGAACAATTAAAAAAGAATTCTAAGCAGATACCTCAACATTCGTCCAGAGAGAAAGCATACAAAGTATCCAATTGCTTTTATTGTTTGAAATGCTTAAGAAGAAAAGCGAGCATAACCAGAGTCATTTTAAGAAATCAGATGAAAACTCGAAAGAATGGTGGGAGAAGCACAAAGAAGGAGTGAAGAAGATAGGAGAAATAAGAAGATTAGTGGGAAGCATACAACTTCAAATTAAATAAGAAGTAAGAAGCCAAGGTTGCACTGAAGTGTGCTAGTGAAGATTAGTGGCTTACGAAAGTAAAAACTAAATTCTGTGATTTGAAAACATCTATCTAAGTAACTAAATAATTCTGACAGCAGAGCAACTCTACTTGTACATAATAAAAAAGAAAAGATAGAAGATAATATGCAGTTAATGTTTTAGATATGAAACACAAGGTGAGCGTGAGTGTGAAACAGAAAAGGAGGAAAATGGAGGATGATGTTAGTGGATCTGAACAGAAGGATCTCTATCGCAAGATCCAAGCGTAACACAATAATGCTAATGCCGAATGCTACAACCCAAAATTAGAGAATGCATAAGTCACATTTCCATGATCTGTAGAGATGAAGGTGAGTGTGACTGTACCTCAAGAATCAAACAGAGAGAAAGAGAGTATCTCAGATACAGATCCCATCTTTCCTCCTTCTTCTTCTTTTTCCTCCAGTTTACTTCCCAGTTCTGACTCACTCCCTTCACCAATCTTCTCTTCTTCTTCTTCTTCTTCTTCTTCTTCTATTAAAATTAATAATAATAATGTAAAATAAAAAGCCTCTCTCTCTCTCTCGTCAACAACTGGGGGGTTAGGTTGGGTTGGGTTGGGTTATCTCGTCTCCTCTCATCAGCCGATGTAAATACCATATAACTATTTACCCAATGTTTTA